TTCCTGTTATAGTGGACACACACACACACACACACACACACACACACAGAGTTAGGAGGAATATATCCCCCAGTCTGTAGTATACCAGACTGGGCCAGTCACCAGCCGTCTGTTAGCTTTGTGGAGGGGTGATTGATGTGTCTTTTTGTGTCTTGTTATTCCACTGACTATAGACACTTTTATCCACCATTAATTTGCTAGTTGCTGCAAAATATTTATCTTTGGCTCACTCTTAATATTATATCACTAAGAATAACCTTAGCAAACATACCCGCTAGTAGAACCTCTGGATAAAAGTGCATTACACGAAGCTGAAAGGAGAAACAGAAACAAGAAAATGGTTGAGAAAAACAGGCACACAACTAACAATCAGTACTTTTGTTAAATACTCTGTGGACAGTAATAAATAGAGCTATACATAACCCATTAATTAAAAGCTAACGAAATAGACGGGTAAAAATGATTGCTGAAATGTCCCTTTCTAATATCTTTATAGAACTTCAGTCCACGGTCTGGAAGCATAATTAAAAATGCTGCATTGCCACTTTTCTTATGTCTGTGGTTCTGATCAACAAACCTGCAGTCAGGGATCTGAGTGAGCAAATAAGCACATAAAAGCAGCAGTGCAGGCTGGTTTTAAGCCACTCCGAGCTCTATTTACAATCAAAAGGGCTTAAAAATCAATTGTGATTAAGGGAGCAATTGTAGTTCAGCTAAATATGCTACACTTTCAGTCTAGTCTAGCAGCAGGACTTTGCCAAAAAGTGTTAACCTCTCAAAAGCACATTGGTTTAGAATAAATAGTAAGAAAAGAAAAGTTTAAGTTTGACATTGTAGTTACTAGTTGTAATGTGAAAAACTCTCCCACTCTGGTTTTATATGTCTTTGGTTAGCAGTGTTGTGGTGGAAGTAGTTTGCAGCTGGACCCGGCCGACTCTGCAGCCAATGAAAATAAAGCCAAGAAAGATCTGGGACGATTGCCGGCTATTGTACAGCCGGCTTACACGTTCCCGTCCTGATCCAAAAGTTAGAAAAACACCCATGTTGCATTTTCTACCCTGCATGCCTTGCCTTGTTGACATGAATCCATCCATTTTGTTTTTCCGACCGCCTGGCCTCTGAGTGCGACAGTTTTGCTTTCTTGTCAGTCTTTTTTGGTAACAGATGGGGTTCCTCACCAGCTGAGGGGGGAGACGAGAACGGGAGGGGAAGAGTGGCTGTAAATCAGGGTTGTAGAGAGAAACGGGTGGTTTTATGAGAGTTTACAGACCTTCTTCACTTTTAATGAGAAAAGACAGCAATGCTCTTCTAGACAAAGGAAAGAGGGAGAGAGGTAGAAGATGAATGTAGTGGAGGCTAGGAGAAGAAGAGGAGAGGACATGGGATAAAGGACATAGGGGTAAAAGTCAAGTGGGATTAGCAGAGGAACTGGAATGGCGAGAAAACCTTGAGGGAAGGGCAGGAAGGAGGCATGAGAGGCCTATCAAACTATTGGCAGGCCTCCACTTGGCATATGAGTTTAAAAGCAATCTGTCTCTGCCTCACTCACTCCGGAGTCTGGTAAAGATTTGGTGCTTACACACACAGTACACACGTAAAGAGCAAAGGAAACAAGAGAGAGGTGAAGCGCTCGCAGCTGCCCCCTTCATTCGTGCTGGAGCCAGACCCCCCAACATAACACTAGCACACACCCGGTGGAGTGGCCAGTGGGTCAGAAGTCAAAGGCCACTGTCATGCTGTGACACATCCTAGATCTTGTTACCGACCCCCCCCTCGATGTGTGTTTGTGTCTGTCTGTGTGTCTTTAACACAGAGGGTCTGCCCGCCTGTCTGCGTCTCAGCTTCTGCCCGTGTGTTTAACTGTTTACAAGCATCCATGAGGAAGGTTTACCCCCATATGTTCATGTTCATGTGTGTGTTTGTGAATGAGTGTTTGTCTCCGTCAGTGCCAGTGCTGCCCTGCCCACAGAGGGGCCCTTTAATTATGCACAGACCCCCTCGTCCACAGCAGAGCCCCGCAAGGTTCCCTTCATGGTCGCTGAGGCCCAAAACAGCCACTGCGATCACTTTCATCACATCCAATTTGAAGCCGTATCCAGATGTAGGAAGTTAAAGTTTCAGTGCGTACTTGCTGCTGAACTGTAGCTCCGCCCGAGTGTGAAACCTTTACGTTGTACATCTGTCTGTAGGCAAAAGAAATGATATGGCAGCTTCAGTGGAGTCTGTAGTTAGTGATTTGAAAGTGACACATTTCTGTTGTGTTGGCTCTCCTCCAGCACACTGGGCTTTGCAATGAGACCATCACTATGAGGTTAAAGTGGTCACTTTAAAGGGCAACTCTACCGATTTTACACATCAAAGTGTGTTTACAG